CTCGGCTCTCAGCAAATTATGGTGACAGGTAAAAGAGCTCCGACCGTTTAATTCTTGTATGTCTGTAGGAAATTTTAGAGAGGAGAAACCTGTGTTAACACAGAATGTTCCTCATGGTCTGGAACAAAAGGGAGATTCCCAAGAATCGTAGGCCCTGAAAGGAGGTGCCAGGCCAAAATCAAGCCCTACAATCCCAGCCATGAAGGCCGACAGTCCCTTTCAAGTAGCCGTTGGATTTCTTCAAGCTGGAAATGAGCATTGTGGCCTAATGGCTTTGGGAGTCTTTAAATAAATGAGTGAGGCAGGAAGCCATCGAGATATCAGGATCTGGTCCCTCTGGCTTCTGCTGGTGTAAAACGAGGTGAAGGGCTCCACTTTGGCTGGATTCATGGCCCGGCTCCACCAAGGAGCCCACAGGCCCAATAATTGGCCAGGTCAGTGAGGAAGGAGTCTGGCCTGGAAGCCCTCAGGGTAGTTCGAACTAGGTAGGCTAATGTAGGCATTCGACGTTGCAAATCAAGCCTGGGATTTAAATATCCCGCGCTTGATTTGCATCTTCCCAGCCGGTCGCCACTTTTTGAAATTTACAAGTCTGGACTAACTGCCCGCGTCTGCACGTGGCAGGGACCCGGTATTTTGAATTAAAACCCTAAATTGAACTACCCGTTATTCCTCCTGCAAGGACATACCCTCAGATTGGGAGCTCTAGTTTTCTTCCCTAGGCGTGAATGCCCTGACCTGAAGCTGCCCTCTGACTGGACAGCTGTTCTGACACTTGGACAGGGCAGTCAGTGCCCTCACTCTGGGGCAGGGATGGGCAAAACAGGCCAAATCCAGCCCGCCAAGCGGGTTGATCTGGCCCGTGGAGGCCCTGCCGTTCCCCTGCCCCCGAGCCAGTTGGGCCCTGAGGGTGGGGGAATGCCCAAAGCCTCCTCCTGCCCTACCCCCTGATTGGCCTGGGGGCGGGAGGAGCACGCAAAGTTTCCTCTGCCCTCCCCCCCCCACCTGCAAGGAGCACGCGGCACTTCAAAGTGCCGTATGCTCGTGCAGGGCAGAGGCAGGGCGAAGGAAGCTTCGTGCAGCTCCTCTGCCCCCAGGCCCTGATTGGGCGGTGGGAGCACGCGAAGCCTCCTCCCTCCCTGGAAGGAACGCGTAGCACTTTGAAGTGCCGCATGCTCCTAGCAGGGTGGGGACAGGGCGGGAGGAGGCTTTGGGTGCTCCCCCGCCCCCAGAGCCTGGGGACAGGGGAGCTGCACAAAGCTTCCTTCGCCCTCCCTCAGCCCTGCGAGGAGCGCACAGCACATCAAAGTGCCCTGATTGGCCTGGGGGAGGGAGAGCGCCCGAAGCCTCCTCCTGCCCTACCCCTGCCCTGCGAGGAGCACGCAGCAGGGCGTGGTGTGGGTGCCTAGTGGGAAGGGGGGGCAAAGGGGCTCCCCCACCCTCAGACCAATCATGGTCTGTGGCTGGGGTAGCCCAGAAGCATACTGGCCCTGCCCCTTCTGGTTTAGGCCCCTCCCCTTCTGAGTGGCCTGGGGGCACTTCAAAACTTTTTGAAGTGGCCTCCAGCCAAAAATTATTCCCCACCCCTGCTCTTAGGGCATCAAGGCCACACCCCCACCCTGTATGGCCACTCCCAGTTCTTGACCTGTGAATGGGGCCTGTGTTGGACTCTCTCTGGACTTGTGCACTATGTCTGGTTTTGTGGCAGTGGAAGTCAGGGTGGCTAGAGCCCAGCAACGTGATTCAAACTCTCTTTGGTTCACATTGGTGAACGCCCGCCCTTTCCCCTCTTGTTGTCCTAAAGAGTTTTACACATCAGATTTAGGGCCTGCCATGACTGTACCAATGGGGTCCCTGAGCTAAAAAATGGATTTATGGGTTGTAGTTTGGGCATTCATTGGCTATTCCTTAAACTCTGCCCGAGAACCTGCCCTGCCAGAATCCATGTCGCCCAATACAGGACGATTTAAGAAAAGAACTCACAACCTGTTCAAAATACTTATTTAATCATGTAAATATTCTTGTTCGTTTGTTTTAAAGAAAGAGACTCGTGTGTGTTTACCCAACACGCCTCTCAGAACCTCCCTAACATTCTTTTCTACTTAAAAATAAAAGCAACAAAAAATGAGGAAATTCAGGGCAAAAAAAACCATAACCTCGTTGAGGCCAAACACACCCCTGGTGTAATGGCACTGACTTCGTGAGGCCTGTGCTAGCAGTGGGATTGGCCCAGTGTGTTTAAATAATGTTGAAGCTTGTGACATAAACCAGTAAAACACCCAACAATTCAGAGGGAACACTACTGCTCTGGCCTGAGTTTGTTTTGTACTGTGTACATACGTCCATGGTACACTTGTGTACAGGGTCATCCCACATTACATTAATGTACACACACACACATATTACACTTGTGTATACAGAACTCTCCTGTATTACACTTGTTTACACCCCCCATATTGTACTCTCATATACATTCTCTCTCTCTCTCTCTCTCTCTCTCTCACACACACACACACACACACACACACACACACACACACACACACACACACAAATATTATACTTATACACACACATACACTAGTACACACCCTCTGCCTTACCCTAAACACATTCTCTCACACACAACACTGTTTACTACACACTCACAGACGTCTCTGCACACTAGGGATGTAATAGTGTAGTTGATTAATCGATTAACCAGTAAGCAAAAGTTTATCAGTTAATGCTATAGACTATGCCCATTTCCCCCCTCCCCCTGCCAATACATTTTTTAGCAGGCTGGTCAGCAGCCCAGCTCAGTCCTGGTTTGTGCAGGGTCCAGGACCTACCCTTATTGTGGTTCTGCATTTAAAGTGTATTAAGAGCCAGGCAGATAGGCAGCCAGGCTCAGTACCAGCTTACACCAGGTCCGGGAGCTCAGGGCTTGCTGGCATCTCTTTTCCCCCACCCCAGCCCCCGCCCAGACAGGGTCTGCTGCCTTTGTATCAGAGGCAGCAGCGTGGGATGGCAGGCAGGCAGTCTGTGAGGGAAGCTGGTTTTTAAACTGGCTCCCCTTGTGGACCAGCTCCTGCCTGGCACCCAAAACTGCTGCCTCTGATACCGACAGCACGGAGTGGCAGGGATTCCTCGGGAGTGGAACTGGATCTCACTGGCTGCTGGTCCCACCCCCAGGGACTATAGAATAGATAACCGATAAGAATTAATGAGGTTAATCGGCTATTCAATTAACTGATATTTAACATCCCTACTGCACACCACACACACTGTAACACGCCCATTTGTTCATTCTCGCACCCATACATGGATTAATTTTCACATGCAGACATTCTCTCTTTAGCACTAGTGCACGCTCACAGACACCCTGCCTTGCACGCAGCACAGCCCCTCATGTTCATCCACCCGCAGTCTTTCTCTCTCTAAAGCTGCAGGGATTCCTGTGATCAGATCACTAATGCAATAGTCTGGGGAGAACTGTTTGGTTCCATTGGCCCTTTGTTCAGTTCAAGTTTCGTGCTGCCCTGTTGGCGCAAAGACTCAGAACTTTTCTAGGTGACGTCTTAACAAAAGCATCCTGACGGCTCACCTAGGATTATTTTTATTGCAATTCCCAGTCATAACCCAGGACCCCATTATGCTCAATGGATCAGCTAGCCAGGCCCTGATCTCGGCTGTACCCATGCAGCGCCAGAGTTACATCTCTGTAAGGGTGCATCTGCACTGCACCTGAAGCTTGAGATAAGCTACACAATTTGAGCTACACAAATTGCATCGCTTATTTTGTGTCAATTTCGAAATGGCTTATTTTGAAATTTGGCACTGTCTACACAGCACTTACTGAGACATAAATTGCTATTCCAAAACGTCCCTTACTCCTCGTGGAATAAGGTTTACAGGGACGTTGGAATGGCGAGCCCGTTACGTTTTGAAATAACAGGCGCCCTCAAAAGACGCGGAATAGGTATTTTGGGATACCTCCGGTATCCAGAAATAGCGCTGCACCGTAGATGTAGCCTAACTGAGCTCAGACTGTGGCCCAGTATGTCCCAGCTTTTGGGTGTATGGGACCATATGCATACTGTGGGGGCCAGCACAGTGCAAGCATCGATCCATTGACGCCTGCCGTCTGTGTGATGCAAGCCAGAGTGCAACACAAATGCAAAGGTGCATTTCTGCAGAATTTTTTCCTCTTGTCTGGTGGGGTTTGTTCTGATTGAGAGAAATAATAAGTAGCAATAAATGCTGGAACAACCCTAAGGAGGGGAGAAAAATACCCAACTCCTTTCCACACCAAAAGCCCCCCCAAAATGCGATTGTATCTCAAATTCTGCCAAGCAATCCCTAAGTTAAATACTGAACAACCATTAGTTCATGTTTGCTTAGCACTTTGAAGGGCCTGCGCTGTACTCTCATCTGTACCCATGTAGTCAAAAGGGACTGACTTTAGAGTAAAGAATGGATTCTAGTCTCCTTTACATTGACATGAATCTGGAGTAACTTAAAGCGTGGCTTCCAGTTGCACTAGGTCTGATTTTGGCCCTTCGGAGGGGGTGCAATCCTGTGCAGAATTTGATTCGGGTCAGATCCTGATCTCGGTGAAAATCCAGTTAATTCTACTCACGTCAGTCCCTATCACCAGTATCAACCCAACTTTTATTTAACATAGAGAATCCCCTACAGGATGTATCCCCCAGGCAAAGTGCTTTGCTAGTTAAAACAGGACGGGGGTGGGAGAAGAGAGAGACATTGAGCTTTAAATCTCTATCCCTTGAACCCATGCCACTAAGCTTCCTGGCTGCTGGGGTTTGGTTCCTGATAGGGTGTGTGATCACCAACCTCGTGTGTCTCTTTTCTTTTCTTTTCTTTTCTTTTCTTTTCTTTTCTTTTCTTTTCTTTTTCCCCGAGTCCCGCCTCCCCGCCTGGGGAGCCAAAGGTTTGGGAAAGCAGAGAGCCAATAAGGCCGGCCCCTAGCAAGCAGCCCTGATAGGGTAATGCTGCTTGGCTGGGCTTTTTGTCAGAACTGCTCAGCTCGCTAGCTGGGAGCTGGTTCCCTCAGCATCTTCCCTGGGAGGCAGCGAGCAGAGGCTGGGGAAGGCACCCTGATCTTTCACCTGCCCTCTAGCCAGTAGGGAAGGCCAGGCAGGAGGTGTGGCCAAGCTCTGTCCTGCCAATCACCTTCATTTTTGACAGCCAGCCTTCTCCTCCCCCCCATCACCCCCCCCTTCACCAGTGAACTCTGCTGCCAAAGTGTTCTCGGGGAGGTCCGTCAAAAGCAATGACATCAGTATTTTAAACCAACTTGTTATTCGGGGAGCAATCAGTTGCAATTAGGTATTAATTAAGTATTATGAAAGTTGATTATTTGAGTGAATTCGGCTTTCGTCTCTCCGACTATGGTAAGTACAGCACAATTGTTCTTTTCCTGTCCCTTGTTCTTTCAGTTTACACACACACACAAAAAGCCCCTTCTGTGCCGGTCTCTTCTTTTCCCTCCCCTTTCCCTTTCATTCTTTCATTCGTTCTTTTTCACCCAGTGCTGCTCTTTTTTATTTTTTGTTTCTTTTCCTCCCCTGCCTGTGTCTCTTCTCTCGCTCTCTTTCCTGCGGGCGCGACCGATGGGACCGGTTCGTCTATAAATAGTTTCTCTTTTAGTTTAATAAACTACCCAGCACAGCTGATCAGCTTTGGGTGGCCTCAGAGAGAGGGGGAATTTTAATTTCTCTTTATTTTGTTTTCCTGTTTGGTGGGAGGGAGAAGAAACTTTTTTAATGTTCCCAAAGCCAGTGCAGGGGTGTATGTGTGTGGAGGGATGACATGTCATTCTGATATGGGAGGGGTATTGTTTTGGGGCGGATTCCCCCTAATGGAGGTAACTTAATAAGTTTAGAGTGTGGAAGCCTGAGAGAGTATGGGGGGAGTAGCTTAGAATCAGGGTACTTGTCCCCCAGGTACAGCTCAAGGTGGGAACTCTCAGACTCTTTCGCTTTTCTTTCAGTTGTTTTACGGAAGTCCCCCCCCCCCCCCGCCTCTTTTTTTTACCATGAAAGAGAGGGGGGGGGGGAGGCTGCTTCAAGAGGATCTCTCTCTCCCGGTAGATTTCAAATCCAAATCTGTTTGCATGATTATTTGGGAGGCAGTCGAGAGAAACTCCAGGGTGAGAGAGAGGGGAGGAGGGAGGGACAAATGGGGTAAAGGGGGGAGGATGCCGAAGGGAGGAAGTTTATGGAGGTTTTGAAATGAATCTGCATTTATATATAAGGCATGTGGGTTGTTTTTTCTTTAAATTTGTAACCCCCTTCTAAGCTCTGGTGTCCTGTTGGTAAAGGTTGCTTGTCAGGTTCCTGTGCTGTCTAAATGAAAAGGAATTTAATTTATTTGGGACAAGGTAGTGTCAGATGAAGAGGATGCTTATTACATTTAATGAGTTTTTTTTTTCACCCGGGCACATCTGGGATGGGTTTGCTTTTGTCTTTTCCATGTGAAGTATGTAGACTCTGGGAGGAGGGATGGCAGGCCCCCTCCTTGCTGGTTTTGGTTTCAGATTACAGGGCCAGGTATCGGGACTGGCTGCTGTTTTGCTAATGAATTTTGTAGCCCAATCTTTGGCCTTAGTTCTGGTGTTGGGCCAGCAGGGTGTGTGGGGCCCTCGGCCTGTTGTCAGGTTGGGGGACGGGTTGAGTTTGAGGCACGCTGTGTGTGTGGGTTAGAGTTAGGGTTGAGATTTCATGGCCCAGTATGATGGCTGGGGTGTGATTTCAACATGGGATTCGGTGGTGGCTGGGTGAATTATGTTGCCAGGCCTGGTGTAGGTCTTGGGCTTGGAGTTCGCAACCCTGTCTGGGAGTTCGGTACAGGTGAATTTGGAATTTGTCAGGAATCACTCAGGTCCCATTTCCCATTAAATGGGGTTCCAACATAGTCTTTCCAACCCAGTCCTACTGGGAAAGTGAAACAGCATGCCCCTCAATGATTCAATACCCCTCCCCTCTTGTTAAAAACTACATGACATCAGTGGGCCAAACCAGCTTGCACTGGCAATCTTGTCATTTGGATCATTATTGTAGTATATTTTTACAAGTGATAAGACTGTAATAAACTGGTTGATGATTGACTGGCCTGAACTTTGAACTCTGCTATTTTGCTTCAAAAGGATAAAGTTGTTGTTGTTGTTTTAATGATATCAGGAATTAAAAAGAGCAGGAAGGACACCTGCACCTTGATTTGAGATCTCGGTTGGCCCAGGCCTGGGTGTGTGCTGTTGCATCTCTTCAGTAGAGCAAGTAGCTGGGAGGCTGAGTGGGTAGGAGAAGTGTTAAAGTTGTGGTGAATTTAAGGAGGGTGGATAATTTAAAGAGAACTAAACAATGATTTGCCCGCCCTCCTCCATCCCTATTTCCAGGAACTGTAGAAGCTCCTAGATTGGGGATCAAACTGTAGCTGTGCCAGGTGTTTACAACTATAGTTGGCCTGGTTTCAGGACCTCTCTCCATTTTAAATTCCTCTTCCTGGAGAGGTAATGCCTCCTGCTGGCTGGAGTTGTACCCTGTCAGCCAATAAGTGCAAACACTCCCGCCTACCTGCAGAGTCAACTAGCTTCTCCAGTAACCAGCGCCTGGGCCTGGGCCTCCTCTTTCCTGTCCTGTCATCATTTCTATGGAAACTGCCCTCTGCCCCGCACCCTTGTAATGCACGCCTGGTCTTCCCCATGGTGCTCACAGGTAACATGGACGTTCAACACTCTGACTGGGGCTCAGGGTGCGAGGAGATCTGTTTAGGCCAGCATTACAGCCTACATGTGGGTGAAACCATCTTCTGTGATCACAAGGTAAAGATCTGCCCCATAAATACCTCCTCTAGCCATTATCTTCCTGGAGGCCAGCTTACTTCCCTCCGTCATTTTGGCTTGAATTCTCTCTAGTCCTTTAGGTCTTGTATCCCCAGGGCTGTATCTGAAGGGTGGTTCACAAGAGAGAGGGAAGTCCACAGGGACCACTGTTTCCTCTAATCTTTCCCATGCATGTATGGATTTTTTTCCATCCATGTGCGGAATGAATTTTATGTGCACTGAGGCATGTGCACTACCACTAGAAACAAAAATTTCTAGTGGTGGGAGTTGAATATCCTGGACGCTCACTGATGAGGACCCAGGGTATAAAGTCTGGAGGTGTGGTCTTACTAAGGGCTTTGTACATTGAGTTAATGTGTGGGACCTCTATTACCAGAAACTTCCATAGAAGTTAAAAGTAGGAAAGATCTGCCAGGCAGCTGATCCAACTGGGGCCAGCATACGATTGTTCCCTATGTGTGTTTGTCTAGGAGTCTGCTTTAAAATATCCGAAGCAGTTGGTTCCCATCATTTTCTGTGGGACCCTTCCCTCATCAGAGTTACCTCAGTACAAGATCACAGGAACTGCACTCAGAGTGGGGACAAGGAGCATAGGTACTTTGGGAAGAAGGGGCACTTTAATATTCAGATAGTTGGACGCACTCAATTTTCCAGTAGGAGATAATTTTGTATTTTCATAGTGTAAAATACTGTTTTCAGATAATAGTAGAAATATCCCTTAGGGTGGGGACACCACCCTTGTTGCTTCTAAACTACAGCTGCTGGATTTTAAACAGCATTTCGATAAAAAAAATTAGGGTGTGTATGTACAGGCAATGTACTGTATCCTTTCACTGTAAACAAAAAAAGCACCTACTACACGGATAGAGAACACAGTGTGTAAGTGGGTGTGATCAATACAGATACTGGAGCTGGGCGGGAGTAAGCATTTATTACGTAAGTTTTGAACCTTTAGTTTCTTTCTTGGGTTCCCTGAGATGTTTGCCCTCCTCCCCTGTCTGCTACCCACCAATATGGGGAAGGCCATGTAAATGGGGAACCTTTCTGCAGTTTGTTTTGGTTTTGGTGGAATGGGTAGAATTCTACAGCAGGGCTTTCGTGCTTTAGTCAGTTCCCAACAGCCTCCTGGTAAACTCTTGCAGATTTTTTCATAACAACTGGGCTGCCCTTGTGTCTTGGGCCTACTCTTGACTTACTTTCTACCATCAAAAAGTAAATCTGGGCTGTGGAATGGCTGCCTGTTGAGTTTCACATGCAAAAGTTGGCTGAAAGTGGCTGGGAAGTAGCAGGCTGGTGCAGAGAACGTGACTTGGGACATGGAGGAGAGTGCTGGTGTCTTTCCCCTCCTCTCTTGCACCTCCAGGCTGCTGCCTCTTTTCATCCACAGGGATATTTTGTGGTCTATATTTTTTTTAGGGTGGTGGGGTTCCAACTAGGAGTCAGTTCAGAGGAATACCATCGCTGAAAAGGCCCAGCTGGCTTTTTGGCCAACCAGAAGGTGGTTTGGGACAATCCATGTCTTGGTCTCCCTTTGCTAGCCAGAGAGGGGGCACAGGATATTTTATTTGGGGAGAGTATGGACAGAACCCACATCCCAACATCCCACATGGTACTGTTCCCCCTGGTTTAATGTGGACTGGATCAATTTGGACGTCTTCAGCAATAAAAAATGCCAATGTCGTCCTAATTCACCAGGCCCCGAGATGACAGCAAATTTACATTTTTTAATTAAACTAGCAGCCAGTTTTTATGAGAGGGGGCTGGGTTATGCAAATCAAATGGTTGTGTACGAAAGATTAGGAGAGTTTGGGAATAAATTCCACAAATGCTAATAAAAAAAAAGAGAGAGAGAATGAGAGAGGGACATTGTTCCATTAGCCCCTTTTAGACTGATTTCCCTGGAGAGAAGGGGATGTGGGAGTGGAGGAGGGGGGGGAGGCTTTCAGAAACAGGTAAAATCCATTTTGAGGATTGAAAGCCCCCATCAGACCAGGACCCCGCTGCTCCCTGCTTCTTCTCCCAGAGCAGCATGGCGTGTGGGGCTGGGAGGGGCACCAGAGACAGGCAAAGAAACTTATTAGCCTCTTATTCTGACTGTACAAGTTAGAAACACAAACTGGGATCTATAGAGCTGCCAGAAACATGTATCTTGGGTGAATAGCTAGGCCAGATGCAGAAGGTGGGCACTCGGTGGATGGAGGATGGGCTGGCAATGGATAGCGTGAGGCCCAGTCAGGTGAGGGAGTGTAAAAGGGCTGGGCCAGATGTAAGGGGAGAATGGGGCGGTACTGGATGGGCCATAGGAGGAGATGAGGCCTGGACAAAGACGGGACCAATCTGGGTAGGGAAACTGGGAGCTAGATGAGAACAAGGTTGGGCTAAGGAACTATGCAGATGAACAGGAGCAAACACTTGCTGCATGTTAGATGGTACAGGGCTGGGCTGGCATGCTGGATGGGTGCAGGGTTGGATTGGTTGGTAGAATGGATGCTGAATGGGTATGAATATATTGTTCCCTCCCACAAACTCCAAACTCTCTTCTCCTCTCTT